GGCCACTCACAACCTCCCACTAACGGTAATTTAGCGATTGGCATCTGTACCTTTGTCACATGATGGGTGTGGGATTGCAACTCGTGTGAACTGTTGTGGAACTGGCCAATTCAGAACTAGATGTAAGTGCTGTTCCCGGGGCAGCCGTAAAGACATCTTGCAGCGTTGACTATTCGCAAAACCTTCATGTCTCTAAATTCATATTTCCACTTATATGCCCCACTAGTGATTCTGCTTGGTTACTCTTGTCTTTTGGTACTGAGCGAACACTTATAGGTTGTATATATCACTCATCCGGGGTCAGCCGTAGTCATGAGAACCAGTTGGTTGACCTCTTTAATTACATTGTCGGAATTTAATTCCTTCTCAAGTTCTCAGCATACCGCTGAACTTAACAATATCCAAAGGCATTGAGAGATTGGCTGACATGTGGCAGATGACGTTTGCAACATCGAATTGTAATATTCTGGTGCATAGATGCCAAGTAGATGCAGAATTTTTCAGGCTTCATGAGGAAGTTATTCCCATCAGCCATTCTGTCCGCGAGTTAGATTTTAGATACTCTAGTTCGTTAGATTTTAACGAACACAAATCGTGTCATAAAAAGCCTAAGCAATCGGTCGCGCTCATATGCCACCCCATAACTTTGTATGAAACCAGACTAACTGCTTTCAAAGTCAGTATTAGACCTTTGTTTGAATACTGTGGTGTTAGGTTCAGCAGCCCGAGAAAGTGTGAGTTGCGAGTCATTGAGACGTTCAACTCGCTTTCACGAACCGTATATTTGCTTATTAAACCGCTCTTACATATAGAGATAGCTGTAAGGAGATGAATTTTGAACCTCTATGTTTAGGAAGAAGCATGTATATCTGTACTTCCTCCGCAAACTCGAATGTCGGGAAGCATATATTGGAACCCAACAATTGCACTTCCTGGAAAATACCAGTTATGAACTGCGAAATACTGAATGTATAGTCTCTTCAGCTGATTTCAGGACCAGCCTATGGAGAAATTTCTACCTTCTTAGGTATGGCACCTTATGGAATAAGCTACCGAAAGAGATTAGCTATATTAAATGCTTTGACATGTTCAACAAAATGATAATGATTTTCTATCAACTGACAGAGTGAAATGCATTTTAGGAAACCAACTTCATGATGGAAAGCTGTATGAAGAATGATCAGATCATGCATGCTACCGGAGAACATCGACTGGAAATATGTTCAACGAGTGCATCAGCGCAAACTTGATCGTCCATGTTGAGTTGTTACGAAAGCTTCACACGCTATTCTTTAACACAAACTTTTATGCAGTTTTACTCCACTCATAATTAATGCTTACCAACTGTCTTCTGATCTAATACCGAGAGCAAAATTATTTACTGGACGGGGCCAGAAACGATCTTTGTAATCCCCCTCACACTGACTAAAGCTTAATATTTGTTCTGCGATTCTCTTCGCTACATTTGTTCTGTAATGCCATCCGTTTCCCCTTCTTTTCCGGAGTTAACAGTTAAGAAACTCTTACCGACTTTCAGTGATTGGCCATATCGGATTCCCTACGGTAAGAACACCTGCTACTAATACAGACTCCGAAAATACATTTTAGTACCTTTTTGCCTATAGATAATTCACACAGGTATCTGTTTTCGGCTGTCACACCGCAAATTCGATCGTAGGATCTGTTTGTACCATCATGCACTGTTGCAAAAGATGTTATCTGTTTATTATTGGGCTTAATGTGATTCTACTTGTTGTATTCCATTTTTCTTATTTTACGTTCTTCCTTATTTCACTGTTGGCCACGACTCGGCTGATCTCCTGACGTTACGGATTGAAGCTTCCAAACTATAAAAGACTATACCCCTACAAGGTGTACTGACGCCGACTGACTGGCGTATACAAAAGTGCACAGTTGTATGATCCGCATGACGGAGCGGTCTGAGACTTCATCCTCTATAATATCTACATAAAAGCAGCCCTAAAGAGAACAGAAATTAAGCAGCACATGGCTTATATGCTAAATTGCCACACCGGTATAGCGCCAGGGAGGGCATGGAAGTGCGCGTGAAACCTTTCGTGGCAATACCCTGCATGTAAGCAGGTCCCCTGGGGACGATTCCAAGGATGACCGCATTACCTTAACTGAACATTTGTTTAAATCTGTATTTGTTATTGTTACCAGCTTTTCGATTTCTTTAACACCTTACACATGCCAATTACTTAATATCCGTTTTGGATCCAGTGTATAAAGCGTGAACAAGTACTTATGTGGTGTGACCCTACTGTACACATTAACCAGACCACATAAGTTGGGCTGTGTCTCGCATCGCCGAGGAATATGCCATTCCTTTAATTATTTATTTGTAGTGCCCCTAGATATTGTCTACCGCTGGTGAACTAATACACGCTTTAAAAAGAGCATAATGTAGTTGCTCAGTTCTTCACCGAGCTTGGCAATTTGGTTGCAGGCGTATGGTCACCAATCGAGGTGACGTTATCAGTGCAGAGTTGAATGTAGCTTGGTCGCGAAGGCCCGTACCAGACAATTCGAGGTCAGCGAACGGCAGCTACCGAATCGTCAACCCGAGCTACCCGAGCTTCCAAAGAGAATAGTTGTTGGAGCTACAACTCGAATGATCACAATGCAGCTACTTTGAACACCGTGGTCATCGCACCGATAAGCAACAAATTAGTTGCATTCAGTAAAGGATCCAAGGTAGAATAAGTCGTCTGTCTATAAAATGCGAACTTTGACTGATATTCGTTCTTTGCATCGATTGAGCATACTTCTAAGCTGGGGCTTGAAAACAGCGGTTCCCCAAAATCAGGTTCTTCGGCTACCGTTTCATTTTCGCCATCTTGTTAACATGTTTTAGATTACCTTACAGGGTCCTTAAAGTGGTGCCGCAGACGTCGCTGCGTGTAGTTGCTTTATTCTGGAACGTTATTAACCCGCATATCACCACCGGACTACCCGAGTAGCCAACCGTTGTGTCGCCCCATCTGCTCAACCCTCGAAGAAATGAGAACACCAAAAAGCAGCTAGGATCAAGGGTTGTTTTATTTGACAGCATAGCGGAATAAATAGGTTGAAGGCAGCTACTAAACATAACAACAACGGAGATGCAAATTAATAGCGGTTAACATAACTCAAAACGGTTCAAGTTCAGGGTTCAACTTGCTGTTGACCCCACACAGATTTGCGTTTGACCCCAGCTTGAGTTCAATCTCCAAATGTAGATCGATCCAATCTTAGGCCACAGTTCTCGGCTTGAATGCTGGCTGGAAACTGGTTCCCTGTCACTCCAGCCGCTCGAGGATGCAGCAGACCGATCACTTCCAAAATGCCTGTTGCTGTACATGCCACGTGACGCAACCAAACAACCTCCACTTGCATTAAATCGTGCACTTCGTACTGGCATGTTTCCAGCTAGTCAACAGGACAAACCTTCGAGTATGATACCATACTTCATTGTCAATGTTTATAGTTTTGTCTACCACTATCAAAAGAAGTTAGACGTTTGATTAATTTCTTCTTTCGTTGAACAATCCCTAATGGTCCTAGGCATCATTCCGGAACAATTTTACTGACTTACTTGAACTGCCCCATCCTTCTACCGTTGCCGAAGATTGTCGAGCAAGCCTCCCCACAAGGCTTCACGACTTGCCCGAAGAGCGAACTGGACCCGGAATACCAATGTCATGACTTAGAAATCTGGGAGTATTGCACCAGCTCATTATCTTGGTGGTCTCATTGGTAGCGGAAAGTCATTGTCTCTGAAAATGAATCACAGTCTCTCCCCAACATTAACCCCTCATCTGCATTATATTGACTACATTGATTGGCATTATACTTGACAACTTCTTACTGACTTTCCCAGTGGCTTGTTTACTATACTCTGGTTGGCTTCCGTCTTGCAGTTTTCAACACCGGTGTGGGTGAAAGATGTCCACGGGGCCTGCACCACAGTGGGTAGTCTGAGCCACGTCGCCCCGAATCGAATTCTCGCTTGGGATGCAAATAATAACTATGAGCCTGAGGCCCCCCATACGCCAGTGTGCGCATGCAAGTGTTGAATGTACTGAGAGACAACTCAGCTGTGGTATTGCCTCCCAGTCTCGAAGTGAGCTATTTAGGTCAAACGCAGCTTACAAATGGGATAGCAAGAAGTCCAAACGACCCGTATTGGAACGAAAAATTAGGACACGAATCCCCCACAACCGAGAAAGCGTAGGGATCAGTACTACACTAATGCTTGCATATCTAACTTTGTCCTCAGTGTACTCAACGTAGTCTTTCTAGTAAAGCAACGAATTGCCACACTTGCTTGTTTGGGGGCTTATTAACGGCAACGGGTCTAAATGTTCCGTGATGTATCTAGGCAACGGGTGTCAAGAGAATGACCATGATGTGGCTAGTGCTCGAGGCGGTCGAGGATTGGATGAACGCACACACACATACATGTGTACCAGTCTTGCTAAAGCTTAATAATTAGTTCGACAGTTACTTCACGAGGGCCTACTTTGATTCAGATGTTTCACGCTTTTCTGCCCCATCGTCCAATAATGCGGACGTGACGCGACGGTTGTGACCACAGTGATGTTCGCACAGGCGAAGGACCAAGGTGTTTTGTGACAGCCCTCTTGCGTCGTAGTCATAGATCATGGAGCATTCGTATGACGGCTGTTTAGACTATGTGTATTCCACTCAGCATATCTATTTGCACGCTGTACATCGCAGCACCCGGGTCATCAGCGAACCTCTGTAACCATGCACATGAGTTTGCGCGCGTCGGTTGTGACACGGGCCGTGTGTACGCAAACAGTGCGCGCTCCTGTACCGTGCCACTCGAGTGTGTGGGCGCGGTTGTGCGTGGATCTGAAGCATCGGCGTACTGCCAATCGCAAAACAGCGGCCTGGAGCGCTTAACCTGTAAGGGCGACACTCGTCATGAGGCCATATATATAGGTAGTTATTCACCAGCAGTAAGTTTGCAACTGGTTCAAACCATCGAAGTGCCCATATAATCACCAGTCTGGAATCTCCTTACTGATATCATCATGTTTGTATTCACTTCGAGTCTTGGCAGATGTGCATTTGCCCTCCTCCTGTTTGAATTGATTGACCAATCATACCCAGCTGTGATTCGAGTCTCCAGTGAAAATCAGGAACTGATTCCTCTTCGCCGAGTCAAACGTTACCACTATTACCCAACCCCACATCAGATTTATTTGGAAGAGAGGAGAGCATTGCGAAATCCTCCAAAGAGTTCTGAAGAATACACGCCAACCGATCCGAAAACAGTCTCGAGAAGAAGGTTGGGCAGTATTTCGGGAGATTGTGATTACCAGTGCAACCTCAAATGCGTCAGAGGCTGTGTCCCCTCCTGCTATTCATTATGTTGGACACCTCAGAAACCACCGAAGAACGAACAAGCCACGATAAAAGGTGCTTCGAAACGGATGTAAATGCTGTTAGATTATACATATCAAGTGAATTATGTTCCATTGTACAATGTTGTCATGAATATATGTTATTGCTATTTAGTCAATGTTGGTACTCGTTGCAATCACATCTTCAGGCGAGTGATTGTAGGTAACCTCGTAGCAGTGTGATCGTGAGCGCGCAGACAGTAGGCCAATTAGTTGAATGATCACCTGAAGTGGCCCATCCCATGTCGTTGTGAAAATTCAAACAGATACTTCCATTGTAGATTTGCGCGATGAACTTCCATCTCACATTTGCGGTCACAGTAATTATGTGAGGTTTAAATGAGAACTATTTGAAATGAAGGTGTTTCAGTGTTGCTTCTTCCAAAACTGACAATTTCAGTGACGTTGCAATTGTTGGGAGGCACAACACCGAAACACCCCCGTTTCAGATACGGTTCTTGTGATCGGAATGACCGTGGTCAACTTCAAAGTGAACGGAAGTCATAATAGATATTACATGTCGCAATCCAACCGTACGATGGGTACTTCAAATCCAAATTGAAAAACCAATTGCTTTCGCGTTTCTGAGGCTTGCCCTGCCATTACGATATCATATAATCCCAAGGCTCTACCGCACTTACTGACTAAAGACATATTTGGGACATGACAGTAGTGCTATAAACGCATTCTTTATCCGCTCTATCCCATCCCTATTGTGTAGACGGAAAGCATGCAACGTGCTACCGCACTGTGCTCAGTGAATGTAAAAGTTACAACACCTGCAACCAGTAGGGGGCGGAATGAGATGTTTACTAACATGTGATTTTGTCACTCCACTTATCAACAAATTTCCACAAATCTGCTAAACTGACATCTGGATAAGCTGAAAGTACCAAGCAGAAAAGCAGTGTAGAGGCGATCTTTAGATATGCCGCTTCCTACTTAATCCTGGACGATTCACCGCTGGAAAGATACCAATTGGCGTGCATTTTCTGCTTTCCCATCTACTGCTTTGAAAGGTCAACTCATGCCTGCACATCGCGGGAACATCACCTGGGCGTAGTAAAATCGCGCTGCCCACTTAGTGACGTCAGCGTTTGTGGAGTAAGCAACAATAACAACGTGAATGGTAACACTGAGGGCACCGCGAAGTTTTACCCACCTAAATGCAGTCGGTTCCCTGACCAATATGCTGGGGTTTCGCACCATCGAAAATGAAGTCCACTAAAGCCCACAGCTGTTCGGTAAGATGATATCGGATTACTTCCTTTGGTAATGTGCCATCGAGATGCGTCACTGTGCAACCAAATTTTGACTTATTTTAAGAAGCAAGAATTTTGGGCCAGACCATTCTGATCAGAGTGTGGAACACATTAAAGCCCTGCTTAGGAGTAAAACCCGTGAGAATGGTCCTCAGTGTTGCTGCCGATGCTTTCAATGGAACGCTTGTGACCGAGCATTTGCGGGTACAAGTATAATCTTCTGTTCAGTAACCAATTGCCTTTCAATACAATACAGTTGCAGTAGTTGATGCGGCCATGGTTTGCTGCTGCTCGATTGGTATGATGGTATAGCATGTCGATTTCAGCCAATCACCATGCTTATACAGGTTTTGAGGAGGTCTTCCATTTTGTGACCATGTTTAAAACGGCACTTACCACAAGGGTAACACTGAAAAAGAATAGTTTGTTCAATGCATCTTCGCGGTCTAATGCATACAGCATCACTGATGTAGATGAGGTACCGGTTAGTGAGTAGACCAGTTTGGCTGTGTGTTTGTTTGGATTCACACATCTAACACATCCTTCACTGCCATGCAGGTTTCTGCCAGTGCAGAGTACAGTGGTTGCCTGTCCAGGTCAGGAGTTCCATTGCCCGTGCCGTGAGTCTACCCCGTAGCAAGGTGGCTGAACTATGCGGATTGTAATCTAAGTACGATGAACCAAATATGATGAAGAATGTTGTGTCTGGAAGCACTGAACTAAGATTCCAGGGCTGCATTTCCCACCGGCCTACGAACCTCCAAGTCAGTATTGATAACTTCATTAAAGGAAATGCAGTCGGTAATTTATCCGTACAACGGGGCTTATTGAAGTTATGCAGTGACCAGCACAATTAAACTGAGGACTACCAGATAATGTTGAGGGTTTGGTCAGTGAGATTCATGTTTTAGGTGGTTTACTTGACAATAATCTCACCAACATTAAACCTAAAGAGTGAAAAGAAATCAAGTCTTCTAAATGGTATCGGCATGGTGAGTTCCTCTTCGCCATATATTGATTAATAACAAGTGGATCATAATACTTAGGCGCATTTCCGGTTTCCCGTAACGCGTTGCGCAAACGAGCTGAGGAATTAGATTGAACAAAGGGACAATGATTTTATAGGGGTCAAAAGCCACAGCTTAACAAGCCCAGTAGGATGGTTACGATGAGCATACAAACCACAGTAAAAGTATCACCAAGCGCAAGTTCACACTGGTGGACTCACCGATGTATAAGAATCGAAAACTGTAACTCCGCTGTAAGTCCATTCGGAATGGCGATAAATGAAAGCTTGATAAAAAATCGTGCCACCTCCGGGAGAGCACAAATAAGAGGCGAAAACGTTGGTATGGATTCTGGGAGTTAACTTTCAGTGACATCTCTCACAGACACTTGTGGTTAGCCACACGGGCAATGAGACATGTGTGATGGTGCAGCGAAATAAGTGCATGGTAATAGCTTTGAACACCACCAACGTGAGCGCACAGATGACAGATTCCGATCAATAAATAGATACGTAACTTCTTATTCTCGGCTACACCAGACACGCCATTAATGGCATGATCATAGTAATAGTACAACAGTTGGTCAAGAAATGTAAAATAGTATAACAGCATTTCCATGTATTTGGATCCACAAATGTAGGTAGGTGTGTGGTTTGTATTTGTAAATGCGTTGACGTTTTTTGAAGAAGTTCAATCGCATCGCTGGTGTCTGAAGAAATATTTGAAGTCTGTGGATTTCATATGCTTATCAGCCTAAGCTTAGGCTGTGACTTTTTAGTGGCGAGTCACATCCGCCACGTCACACTTTTGTTAAGCAGACATTTACGACCTTTTATAGGGAGAAAGCTTGCCAACCGAAAACCCACTACGTCCTGGAACACTGCCGCCAAACTATTTGCTGGAACGAATTAAACCCGAACCACCCAGCCGACAACACGGGGAAATTGTTCGGCTAGCCAGCAATCTACGCTTTGCAAAAGCATTCGAAGAGAAATTCCGAAAGCATTCCAGACGACTGTACGGTTTATGCAGCTTCAGTTGGTGGCCTCTCAGATTACTATGAAGGCTGAGCCATGGCTAATCGCGGAACGAGTGGTTGGGATCTCTTAAAATTTGGTAAGTCAAAATAAGGTCCCCTTCAATCGCGGGTATTGTCTGCTGAAGTCCCTGAGCACCCAAACACTTCGTTCACATTGCAAAGGAAAAAGCCTTGGACATTCTTGCTTTCTCGGCATTGCAGTACTTCTAAGACCGTGAGATCCCTTCTGAGCCTTGATTACCAGACCTGTATTACCTACTCCACGTGTGGACGTACGTATGCGCCGAGAAGTTGTTGAAAATTTGACGGGTCGAATCATTCGAACGCACGCTACAAGACGCCGACATGTTAGATGCCCCTTCTTGACTCTTGTTCAGTCTTTTTCGAAGATCCAACTTCGGCTTGAACCCGAATGTCCAGCTGCTTTTCGCCGGCAAAAATTTGAAGCTCCTCGTTGCCCAGTAATAGTACGTCAGGTGGTTTCGTAAGTGAAGTATTCTATATATTTCGCATTAAACCGAATAAGATTCTGGATTGACCACGCATCCACCTTATCCAGATCGAGTTGTTGTACAGTGATATCATCCGGTGTATTGATCGCCCTTCACACATTGATGTCAAAATAGTGAAGGCATTGTTTCACCTAGAAGTTTGGGTCAGGAGCATAAACCAAAGTAGGGAATGGAAAAGCGACATGTTTGAGCGGACAAACGTCTGCGACGATTACTGTTGGTGCACGTGGCATGAAACGGTGGTACGACGGAACAATGCTTCATTAGGAATAAACTGCTAACGCTTGACAACTCCCGTAGGATGGATTGTGTGAGCTGCCTGATAAGAAATCTGTCAACGGGGTAAACCGTGGATCCACCATGATATTCACGTTAACATTCAGATATCTACACCTACAGTGGGAGCCTATGGTGCGCTGAAGCTAGTGGTGGCTAGATCCTGACAGATAGTCTACCCACTGCTACTACTGTTGTGCCATAGGCTCTTGTTCCGGACGCCGAAGCTGATGCTGGCTAAATGTTCTGCTGGGTGGGCAACGCCACCTCCGCACCACGTGATCATGGGGGCGGATTTGCAAAAGCCCATCGCCTCAATGGCCAGCTGGTGGGTGAACCAACGAACATCAGCGCGCAACTGATGACTGTTCGGATGAGGTACGTTTGCCACTTTTATCATGTCGTGTTCAACTATTGTGCTTTGTTTTTGCCCTCGATTCGCTTATCCTACTCGCACTTCTTTATCGCACTCGTTGGCTAATCATGTGCTCTTGCATTTGATTGGTTGCAATTTGAACCTCTATCAATTTAACGGAACTGCACATGTGTGCAGACAGTTTTCTCCATACATACTTTCCCATGCAGCTCTGGTCTGGTGCTTTTTCGGGGTACAACAAATTGGCGTCGTTTGTTACCGATGTCTTTGCATGCCACTGCCCCTTCCCCTTTTTACACTGACTCTGCGGTTACCCCAAATGCAGAGGGCTGGAAAGACTGGAAAATTAGCTTTTTATATTATATTTCTGTGCTACCAGTTCTCAATCCATCCGTGACGCTGAAAACGGAGGATACTTTGAAGCGTTTGCGCTTGCATCTCGGCTCAGATGGTCGACGCATATTTGATGCTCTAAATTTGCGGCAGAAACCCATGTTGACGGAGGCCTTATCGACCCTCGATAAACATTTGGATGTTCGAGTGAACACCTATAATTCTCGGTACAATTTTTCGCAGCTGAAACATGCATCTGGCGAATCAGTGGATGCATTCAGTTTCCGTTTTCTTTGTTCTGTTCGAAAGTGTGA